TGATGATCTTCTCAAAGAGTTTCCCCAGGATTGAGGTAAGACTGACGGGCCTATAGTTGCCCGGGTCCTCCCTCTTCCCTTTCTTAAAGATGGGGACCACATTGGCTATCTTCCAATCATCTGGCACCTGGCCCAAGCACCACGAGCACTCGTAAAGCCGTGCCAAGGGCCCTGCAATAACCCCTGCTAGCTCCCTCAACACTCTGGGGTGGAGAGCATCTGGACCTGCTGGTTTGAACACGTCCAGACCCTCCAGAAGCACTCTAACCCGGTCCTCCTCAACCTTAGGTCTTGGGGCGTTCCCCTCAAGTCTGTCTTGAATCACGGTGGGGGAGTCCCGGTCCCTGCTCAAGAAAACGGAGGTGAAGAATTTGTTAAAGATTTCTGCCTTCTCTTCTGGCGCGACTACCAGATTGCCCAGCGTATCTTGCAGGGGCCCCACATTTTCCGGCGCCTGGATGATTTCTGGTTCCACAGTTTCTTGTTCAAGTTTGTTTTTAAAGTTTTCTTCTCTAAGAACAGCCACTCTGAGGTCAGCAATGGAATGTCCAGACAGGTTAGTGTTCTGCCACAGGCTTGTCCACATTTCTGGTGCTGATGGCAGATCAGTGTTCATTCATTCTTACATGTAGGAGTCACCTATTTTCCCCTTTTCCTCCGGTAAAGGGGAAAGCCAGGGGCCTGTTCCAGGCAGATAGCCACCCAGCTGCCAGTGGGGTAGACTTATTTAGCCGCTGTCTCCGAGCATAGGGCAGCAGCGGCCAGGCCACACAGACCCAGCTGGGCAGACCCTGCTGCGGTGGAACAGCCCCTCTGTGCTTGGAACAAGCCCCCTCCCAGCAGGAAGAGCTTTATTCAGCTGCTGGCCACTTGCATTGCAGCCAGGTCTGCCCGGCCTGGCCACTGCTGCTCTGTGCTCGGAGACAGCTCCCAGCCACCAGGAGGTGGTTTATTTAGCCGCTGTCTCCAAACACAGGGCAGCAGCAGCCAGGCTGGGCAGAACCGGCTGCAATGTGAGCAGCCACTGCAGTAGTGGGAATGGAGCACAGCCAGGTAGGGCCCCTGGGGGGCAGGGACAGGGTTATTCCTCTGGCCTCCGGTAAAGGGGAAAGCCAGGGGCCTGTTCCAGGCAGATAGCCACCCAGCTGCCAGTGGGGTAGAGGGGAAATGAACTCTGTTCCCTGCCCCACTCTACCTCAGGGGCCATGGTACCCCCCCGCTGCAGCAGAGAGGGGGGGAGAGCAGGCAGACCTGGCTTGAGTCCCTGCCAGTAGCACAGGGAGGGGGAATTAAACTCCTCTCTGGCCAGACCTTGCTCAGGCTGCAAAGCAGAGGGGTGGGGCCAGCCTGGCTGGGTTGGAGCAGAGAGCTCCACCCAGAGAGCATGCTGGGGGTCTCTGATTTAACTGAAACCAGCAAAGAGTCTGGAATAGACAATGCATAAACCGGTTTGAGCCAAATCAGTTACATCTGATACTACATTCAAGCAGGTTCATCTCAAACCGGTTTCAGCCATTTTCAACTGGTTTATGTTCACTGAATGTCTGCTCTGTTACAAGTTTAAACCAGTTTCTGATCACTTAAACTAGTTCATGTGTAATGTCTGTCCCTGGCCCAGATGATCATGTTTTTCTAGCAGGGGGTGGAAGTCACTAATGAGGTATCCGAGACGTTCAAGGTAGGAGTAGTAGGTAACAAACAAAAGGATTCTGGCTAGGTACAAACATTCAATAAGCCCAAGGCAGAATTGATCTCCATCACACGGTTTTTTGTATGCTGCATAGTTTAGTATAGACCATTAGCTAACAGAACATACATTCACTCTTTGGTTGGGGGGCTAGGAATCTTAGACTGGGTTCTGCCATTTTTAAACCAGTCCATGAGTGCAAAACTTCTACTGTGTTACAGATATAGACAGGTTTCTGATCACTTATACCGATAAAAGTGTAAGGTCTGTACCTGGCCTATGTTGTCTTTGTTCTGGAGTTGGTATTGTAGGAGGTCAGAGCAGGGGCTGAATCTGGCTTTGTTGATTCAAGTAACTACAGTTTGAGATTATGTTATTATTGTAGGAATTTCAGCTCCAGATCCTCAAAGTGTGCATCCCAGCCCGTAGAATCAGAGCAGATATGGCTGTAAAAAAAAAAATCTTGGCTGTAGACAATGGAGCTAGTGGTGTAGTTAGGATTACAGCTAATGGCATAGAGGTGGCTATAATAGTTGATTGGTTTTCAATACAATGTGGTGATGATGTGGCCACTGCAAATTTTACAGTGGTGTCTAAGAAATGAATTAGCTGGGAGAAGTATTCGAGAGTTAGTTTGATTGAGTGGTAGAAGCTGTTAAAATCCTGGTGGAATTTTCTTGAGATTTCTTCCCACGCAGTCATATGATGACAAGGTATATGGAGTATACAGGGGGTGAGGGAATGAGAAAGCACTTGAGGAGGAAGTGGATTTCAGGGTCTGCCATAAATATATTGGCATATTGATGGCAGGGGAGATGTGTGCACCCATGGTAGTGTTCCTCATTTGTAGGTATAAGGAATTCCCAAATCTGAAATAACTTTTTATGAGGACAGAACAGGAAAGTACTGGAAATGTTGATATACAGAGATGTAACATCCATGGTAGCTTATATGATGTTGCTGGAAGCTTGTCAGTAGAAGCTAGTTTCTTCAGGGAATATGTGGTATCTTTCAAATAGCTGACAGCCCCCATAGCATATGAAGATAGCATTGAGCTGACATAACCAGAAACTTCCTGTATGATGGTGCCAATGCCAGTGACAGAGACAGACAATGGGATGCACTGGGTTGCCACATTTCTGGATCTTGTTAGAAAGATTTATTTTAGCTTCCTGTATGTATTCCTGGCTTTTCCATATTAGCATCCTCTTTATCAGCCTGTTGTATGATGATACTAGTGTTGTGGATGATACCAGAGTTCTTCCTGCCCTGCCCTAGCTGAGGCGATGCTACTGAGCATGGAGGGAGAAGAGAAATAATGCAGAAAGGGGAGAGCAATGCTCTTATCTGACTTAGGACCTTGAAAAAAGTTCCTCTCTGCTGCTCCTATAGGATGGTCTGCCCATCCTGGGGTAGATTGGAACTGTGTGGAGGCACAGCCACCCTTGCAGGGCCAGTCACTGCTCCTGTACCCCTCTTTAGAAAATCCTGGATCCTCCCATGCACAAGTGTGGGTATTAGGAAGCCTAAAGAACGGATTTCTCACCATTTTCTACAAAGTGAAGAAATATACTTCTCCCACACCAAGAATAAACTGATATTTAAATATTGGGAAAATGCATCAATTTATATGAAAATCATCCAAATCAGTATACATAGATACACATATCTGAATACAATAATTTACTTCTCTTGGAATTCATTAGTCTGATTTATTATTCTTTCCTCTCAGGCAATGATCAACTTTTTCAGCATACAGCATATCATAAAGTCTCAACTAACCCTAACTAAATGCACTAAAAATATGACTGTCACTTACCATACTTTCTCATATATAACACTCGTCAGAATAAAATACACAGCCTATTTTTAAAAGGAACAATAAAAAAAACAAAGTTCTTTCACTGTAGTAAGAAACTGAGTAGCAGTAACTTAGAAGCCATGCCTGCTCACTCTTCTGTTCCCTCTGAGATGCATGAAGATTTTACTTTCATTTTTCCCCAGTAAAGCAGAAAATGCTCTTACAGCTTTGCCTCACATGTAATTAATACACACTGTAATTTCCAGCAGCTACGTTTTGCAGTAGTCATGTGTTTTTGTGTGAGAAAATATGGTATTTGCTTGGGAATAAGTGCTGATCATTTAAAAATTGACAAACACCAAATTTGATTGTCCAGTCTTTGTGCATTTGCTTCCACAAATTTCCATTATATTGTTGTACAGTCATTTTCACAAATGCAGTTTTGATGTTAAAATATGAACAACTTTTAAATAGTAGAAGAGAAGAAAGGATTAAAATTCTGTTTCCTTAGCTATATTTCAGCTTCTTATTCTTGTTCTGGGCTCAACCGAAGACCTTTGCATAAGGGATTATCCATACTACCTAAGAAATTAAAAGTTCCACAGTCTCACCGAACTATTTCTCTGCATAGTGTGTTTATGATTCCAGTACTTTGTTATAAATCAGACCCATCCAAATTTCTCCTGAAAAAGTAATATCATAAGTTATAGTCTGTCAAATTGTTCCCAAACCTAAATTGTTAACACTGTGGCCCCATTTCAGTCTATTGTTGCATGAAATATCTGCTGTTTTTTTATCATGGTTTGCCTTGTGAGAAATGTAAATCTTACTATATCTCTAGTACCCGGATTCAAGTGTCCAGACTGAACTGTCCCTAGGAGATCAACAGAATGCCATGGGGAAGTGAGACATCAATATTTAAGTCAATTATCTGATCAAAATAATTTCTTAACTTCCTAAACATAATTTAAGTCTATGTTACATATTACAATTCTCCCTGTAATGATGTTTAAAATAGGGAGCAGAGTATCCTGATGGGATAGGCGTTTCTCATTTACTTCAGTGACAAGTGGAAGAAGAATGTCAGTCCAGAAATTTATGATGATGCATGTGACAAGTTCTCAGATTTTTTCTTCTATATATTTTGTTGCCTGAAAAAACAGACAAGATTGTTAGCAACACTTTTCTGTGCAATCTTGGATGGTATCTTTAGACACTTTGGCACAGTATCCATATTTTTCTATTTCAACACAACTCAAAAATATTTCACCTTTTATAGGCACTTGTAGTCATTACCAAGTCATTTTTCATGTTAAAAACTGTAAACCTGGATTTCAAGATTCTTCTATCATATTTACTTGAATCCAAGAAAAGCTTTCTCCCCATTTAACATGAGGCAAAAAACCCACATTTTGTATTCAAATATAAGGGCATGGTTTGGGGTCAGAGTTGGAGCTGCAGTCACCACCTTTACCCTACTACCTCTGTCCCCTGCTCTGCCTCTTTCACCACTTACCTTCAGTTGCAGCTCCAGCCTCAATCTGAACCAGCAGCAATGGTGGCAGCCTCAACCCCAACTCTGATGGACTTAGACCCTTCCCAGGGCTGATCTAAAGTTGCCACAGCCATCTTCTTTTCACTGACCAAGTGGGACTGGAGCACCAACTGAAAAAAAAGACAGCAGAGGAGACCAAGTGCGGGAAGGGGTGAAGGAACCATGGGGGGACAGGAAGTTGCAGAGCAGACAAATGTCGGGGTAGGAGTGGCAAGGGGCAGGCTCCAGGGGGTGCAGGCATCATGTTGTACATCATGGGGCAGGGAGAAGGCAGTGGGGGATGGGGAACAGGGGGGAAGACTAAGTACTGGGAGATACAGATGGCAAGGGGCACGGGCACCATGGGAGAGGTGCTCCACAAGAGGGCAAGTTGTGGAAACAGGCAACAGGAGGCAAGGAGACAAGGGTCACGCTGCCTGTCTCTCCACCTGCCTCCCTGCCACTGTTTTTCTGGCTACAGAAGTACAGGGGAATGATTTTAAGATTATCTTCCAATAATTAGATTCTACACATGGTAAAATTATAACAAAATTATATATTATATATTTTTCCAGTACCATAGCAACAAAGTTTGGTGTCTGGGGCAAAGGCCACAGCAGCAGCCTGCCCTCACCCCATGCACATATCTGGGCAGCACACCCTGCCCATGCTTGCCCAGAGGCGCACACAGTGGCGGGAGCCACCCTTCCCTCATCCTGGCATGAGTCGTTCATAGCTCCTTCCTGTGCCCTGCCCCAGCTGCCTGCCTGTTGGCTTCACTTCGGTGCCCGGGGCAGTCACCCCGCTCAACCCACCTTGCTATGGCACTATATTTTTCATGTATAGAATCTAATTATTGGGGAGTCATCTTAAATTTAAAGTCATCTTGGATCAAGACAATTCTCTCTCTCTCTCTCTTTATTCCCCCCATTTCACCTTTAGTCAACTGAGGTACTCAACATTTATTTTGAAGAGTATATTAAGTGCTACAACCATCTTTTTAAAAAAAGATAACTTTGCTCTATAACAGTGGCTTTCAACTTTTTTCATTTGCAGACCCTTACAAAATTTCAGATGGAGGTGTGGACCCCCATGAATTGTAAGTGTGGGTATTCACATACTTTTGATTGATCAGAGTCATCTTTTCCAGACCTCTTAAACATAGCCTGTGGACCCTTACAGGTCTGCAGACCACAAGTTAAAAACCACTGCTCTACACTGAACTAGGTTGCCACTTTTTAATTCAAGTTCAGCTCATTGCTTTCAGTTTTTTAGAACAAAAATCACAAGTGAGTGATTTTTGAGTGTAAAAGACGACTACTCTTGATGGTAAAGAGCATAAACTATCATCACAGCAACATTTTAATTATGATGATGGTATTGAAAATAGGTATGATTTTCAAGCCTTCATAGACTTTCAGTGATACTTAGACTCCTAAATAGCCATCTTACTTTAGGAAAATTGAATTTACAGCACCTAGAATGAGAAACCACTCTGAGACAAAAAGTAACAAGAAAGAAAAAAAACATGATCAAGCCAGCTTTGCACAGACATCCTGCTCAACTACCAAAAGTTTTCAGAATCTAAATAGGCAATTCCCTGCAATGGCTCAATACTTCACAACCTACTATTTGTTCAGTGCCCTTCAGTTTTGTTTTTTTTAGCAACTAGCAAGAGATCCACCAAGATCTTTTCCCTGTAGCTTTCCAGTGTTATAGTAGGTGTAAAAAGGAATCTGATGTTTTCATCAAGTTTTCATGAGCATATAAAGATCAGTCTAATAAAAAAAAATTGAATCTATATTATGTGCACATAGATGCTGCAGTTACCTAAAAGTTCAAAAAAGGTGATGGAGGGGTAAACTCTGTAAAATCCAATTCTTTCAATTTTCAGGAGTGGGGAAAAGACAGAAGAAGAGGAAGAAGAGATGATTGTTTTATAACACTCCCAGAGAAGTTAGTGAAAAGTCTTTGTAGGCTAAAGAGCCATTTGACACCAAAATCATCTGAAAGTCAACTGAAGTCTCCAGAGGGTGGATATGGCCCAATACAACTGAACACCAGGTGCTATAAATGATTGTTCCTTTTGTGAAGACTCTGAGGACTCCATGCCTACACTTAGCAGAACCCCTTGCCCCCGAATTCCAGTAACCTTTATTCCTGAATTAATAAACACATCTGACCTCATGTACTGATCTTGGAAATGCAATATAAGTGTTTTTTGCTTTCCACCCCTCCCACTCCTTATTCTAATGTTTGGCTTGGACATGTTGTTTTTGATGTACCTAATGTAACAGGATCTTCTTTCTCTTTTTTTCCCCACAGACTGTTGAACACAGAAATTAATTAATAAATTTGCCTCTATGTATATGCTATTTTAACACCCGGTCCACTACATACAAATTTTATTCTATAAGTAGGTTTACAATACAAACATTAAGCAAACTTCTTAAACATGAAAACTTACTGTTGTCTGATTCAAGTTCTGAATCAGCCTACTGTCTACGAATTAACTAACAATTCTGTTTAATTAATATTAAAAAAATCTTATTTCAGGGATATTTTTAAATTAAAGTTTTAGTTTATTTAGGAAAAAAAGGTTTTTTATGTTTTCCCCAAATTCCGCTTTCCTAAGGGATTAATCCCTTTTCAAAAAGGAGGTTAAATAACATAATATATGTGCACATAATAACTGATTTATTATAATATCCTGATTTTTTTATCACAGTTGCATGTCATCTTTCTAGTACATAAAAAGATATGCAATGATCAGAAAACAGTTAAACATGTGTGTGTGTGTACACTTTTTTTCTTAATATTATACTCTAAATTTAAAAACTGGATTAGCTTCTTCACTTTTTTAAATCAAATGGCACCTCAAACCAGTGTCATATATGTCATCAATCACCTCTGCTGTTTACATTGGACAAACGGGGTGATTCCTATGTGTAAGAAGGAATGGACAGCAACAGTACCAGAAAAACAGACACTTTGTACTCTCTCACTAGTTTTTCCCCTCAAAGCATTAAGAAAATGCTTCCTCAACTTTAATCTCTTTTTAAAGACAGTCATCTGCTAATTGAGTATATTTGCATTTCAAGCTAAAATGCACTTAAGTAGTCTATCAATAAAATCCAGATCTCAGGAAACCACTGTCAAAATCCAAGTGACATAAATCCTTCATCACACTTAACTGACTAGAAGCATCATTATTACAGTGGGGCAAGCAGGGCACCAACCACAGGTGCTGACTAGGAGAAGGTGCTAGAATTGAATCTTTGCCACAGCAGGGGCAGCACCATGCCAGCCATTAAAGCTGGACAGGGCAGCCCTACACCACACACTATGTGTGGGGAGGGGGCAAGTGGAGCAAGCCAAATGGTGCTCCCCACCCCTCGGGGGGCCTTTGTCAGTGCTAGCATAGCCCTGCACCCAATATGTATGTATTTGGGAAAGGAGCAAACAAGGCACCAGGGTCAGCTCCCAGGAAACCTAGTCACACAGTGCTGCTGGTATCTGAATGTAGTTGACACTGCTACAAAAGCAGCAGCAGCAGCCTGGAAAGGTAAACCTTCCCTTTCCTCTCACTCACATGTGCTCCCCCTTCCCCAACTTCCCTGGCCTAGTCTACAATGGTTGATACACCCACACCCCACTACCCCCACTTTTACTTGCTACACCTCTGCTGACCAGACAGAGAGATAGAATGAAAATGTCTTGCAATAGCTTATCCCTGAGCTTATCCCTCAGGAAGTGCTGACTGGTATTCTAGGACAACTTGGATTTAGAGCAAATTGCTAAATAAATATTCCAGGAGTTATCCAAGACTGACAAAGTAAAGCAATTATTCTCATTAATGCACTTGACTTTCTGTTTCCTCCTTCATATCACGCTATTCAAATGTATTTTTAAATATACAATATACAATAGCACCTGTTTACAATAAACACATAAACAAACTCAAGTTAGTTAATTGGAATGCAAGTCCCAAACTTGAGCATAGCAGTATGCAAATTGCCACTGCAGTTAGAATGCGTCACAACTTAATCATGACGTTAAGATTCCTG